TTAAGAGCCTCTGTGCTGCTTCTCCCTAAATGGTAGTCACTAGTTACATATACCTGTTATTCTATAGGACATTTCCACCATCACAGAAAGTCGATTCGTCAACACTGCCTCAGGCATTGGATAGAGTTAAGTCTATCCAAGGATACACTAGAGGAACTAATATGACGAACTAACTTCTCAGTTGCTTCCTACTTCCAACAAGAACTATTTACCACCTGAGGTCTTACATGGTTACCCTTCAACATAAAACTATTTCATTTGCTATTCTCAACTTGGTTTACCAGGTTTAAAAAATGTGATTGATAATAGGGAGTGAGTCTCTTGCAGGGAAATATGAACACCGGGAGAAACTCCTGCAAGTCCCTTAAAAGGGGTTCTTTTTACCTCAGCTACAAAAACCCTGTGGAAATACAAGTCTTTTATTACTAGACTGTTGCTTAATATTTATCCAGCTCCAGAAACTATGCCGAGAGCATGAGCTAGAGCTCATGCTGATCTCTGCCTTTTGGGACTCACCATTTAATTAGACAGATGGGGAAAAATACCCAAGTGTGGTTCCCAGCCACATTTTTGAATACTAAGCTGGATTGCTGTTTCTGGCGGGCTGTCACACTGACAGGAGGATGCAGTGTGTTGCCTCTTATTGTGCAGTATGAAGAGCCCCACCACCTCTGCTCCATGCTGCCACTGGGACACAAATGCTGCTTATAATACAGCTGTCTCTGGCTTGTGCTCCATTTGGGCTTTTGACTGTTGATGAGACCCTCTTGTCTTGGGTCTACCCCACCCTTGAACTCGTTTTCCTTTATTTTTGATGCTGTTAGTGCCTCCCCTGCCCACCCATGAGGACTGGCTTGATCCACTTTTATTTTGCTCTTCTCCCTGGAGCCAGGGCATCTGTCTGAGTACATACACTAACACATGTCTAAATACCAAGTAGCCAACCTTGAGGAAAACTGGTCACATCTTTGCCAGGAGCTGAAAGAAGGTGCTGTAACCAGGAAGGACAGAGTCCAGGAATCAGCTTGTCAGGTTCTGTGCCCCATTTTATCATCTTTCTGGGAAGCTTCAAAATTTCTGGCCCTACCTTTTCTCCAAAGAGATCTTCCAGTAATAGCTAGCAAAAATTACACTCCTTTTTTTTCATTTTAACAACTTAATTGAGATATGATTTACATACCATAAAATTCATCCATTCAAGTACATGATTCAATTATCTTTTATTACATTCATAGAGTTGTGCAACCATTACCACAATCTGGTTTTAGAATATTTCTACCACCCCAGAACGAAATCTCAGTGCCACTGGCAGTCACTCCTTATTCCCACTCCCAACCACTATTTTCTGTGTCTATGGATTTATCTATTCTAAACAGTCTCTATAATTGGAATCATAAGATGTGTTATTTTGTGTCTCACTTCTTTCATTTAGCCTAAAGCTTTTGAAATTTATCCACATCGTAGCATATATCAGTACTGCTCCTTTTTGTCGTGAGATACTATTGCAATATATGGATATACCACATTTTGTGTATCCATTTACACTAGCAATTTTATACAGAAACAGATGGCTTTAAGGCATTCATTAAGAACATTCACTTTTTATCTATTTGAATATAAGTCAGAAAATTCCTTGATAGTATTTTCCTCAAGTTCCTAAATGCTTGAAGATAAGCCCTTCCTTTAATATAAGAAAAGAGTTACAGTTTCCAAAATCACTTAAAAACAAACACACCCATAAGTCTTCAGTGTTTGCCAATGGATGACAATTATTTTCTTAGTAGAGATAATCAGGCTAATTGATGACAGGAATCATCACTGATGATATAATCAAATACTGCCAATCTCAACACATGAAATCATTTTATCTGAGGGTAATGGTAAAATTAACAACACTGGAATATTTAGATTTACAGCAAGGTTATAAAATATGGCATCTTCTCTGTATACAGTGATATAAAAAATTTATAATAAAATGTGTTATTTATGTTTAATAAGCTGCATGTTCCCCAAGTCTCCTGCTTCTAGCTTGCACAGATGGATGCTGCTTGGTTGCCCATGGCTCTTTGTCATAGTAGAACTAGGGGCTCCCACTTCACAGAGTCCCACTTCACAGTCATCTACAGATGCCTAGATACCTCCAGAGATGCATTACCACCTTCATGGAGGCCAGAGCCTCTCAGATGCCCTCTACATGGTGGTCTCTATTCCTCTCTGCCCCATCCCAGTGGCTAGAATTCTTCTCCAACTCCCATTTCCCATAGTCAAAGGTAGCCTTTATGTCTCTTGGCTTCTTTGATTATTTCCTATGTACATTCAGGTTGGTTGAAAAACACATAGCTAACAGATAGCTCTTCTCAGCCAGAGTCTTCTACTTGTTCTCTTCCTTTTATATAATTGATTCATTTGTAAGTTTGGGAGAGACAATACCATATATCACTCTAAGGCATTATCCACAGTGCATACTTAAATACTATGGCTACATTTTTAAGCTGGTAGACACAGTCTATAACTGGAGGTTCTTATCCTAGTCCAGCTCATCAGTGGATTCTGATCCCAAGGATAGCTATTTGAGTTCTAATTTCTCACTGGTTATTATTATTATTAATGTGAATTGGTAGGTAGAATTAATTGAATGGCAACTTGCCAGATATTTTATAATACCTTCTCTTAGCTTTACAAAGCTGGCTTTATTTTCTCACATTATAGATGTAGCAGCTTTAACAAGGTCACAAGCTCGTAAAGTTGGTGTTCGAATCTAGGTTTACTGATTCCAAAAGCTATGCTCTACCCACAACCATCTCTCAGCCTTCAGGTGACGTGACACTTGGTGATTTCACTTATAGTTACAAGTCCAAGGTCTTTCATACTAACTGTCAAGATTCACCTGGGTTCACTCCTATTGAATGACTAGGGCGAATCATCCAATGTCCACCATATACCTACATGTCAGAAAATGGTCACGGATGGAGACTGCAAGAGGATCAGAAGGAAAAGGCACCACCATTTTCAAAGTTCTACGTTGTTTCTGAAGCCCCATCCTTCGAGGCTTCTCATCCTTCGGAGAACACTGCTCACCACTTACCAGCAGAGTATTTACTCCCTTGTGACATTCTTGTACAGCTAACGCCCCTTCTTAGTTGCCTCCAGGGCTTTGAGCACCTCCTGGAGAGGCACATGCGATTCTAAACTTTTATGAGAAAGATATTTCATGTCTTTTGCCTCTGTGAGTAGACTGTGAAGCCACTTGCATCCTTCGTATCTTTTGCAAATAAAACAGCCAGGCAGACGGCTTGTTGACCAGATCTTGTGATAATGAACTCTTTCATGTCCAGGCAGGTCTGAGTGCTACAGCTGCTCTTCATCTCTGGAGTTTACTATCATGCTTCCCTTTTGTTCCTATGGCACTAAAGATCCTTAGGATCAGGCTGTCTGGTGACTGCCAGGCTAAGCAGGTTCACCCAGGCTCACCTGAGTCCTGAAGACATGTTTGATATACAATGATGTCATCACCACTATTTAATATTTATCAAGGGCACTCAGCATGCATGGCACCACTCAGACAGGCAATGTTCCCAGCCTCTCTTCCTTTCTTCTTTGTCACAAACAATTTGACCCTGTGGGACTTAACTTGTTCACAGATTCTGTCCTTGCTGATTTCCTTAACCTTGAAGCTCTGTCCTCTGCAGTTTTCCAGAGGCATCCAGGGCAGTGTCAGGCTTCTGACACTAACCATCACGATTATAGATGTGACCACAGTGCAGACCTCCCACCACCCTGAACTACCTGAATTAGCTCAAATAAGCACCAACCAGCTGGCCCTGTGGGACTGTCATGGACCCTGGATTTCTTTTCCTGCTTCTTCTCTTGGTATTTGTAGCCTGAGCTCAGGAGTCCAGCTCCCTGCTATTCATTAGAAGTCACACATTCAGCACCAGCCTCTGTACCCGGCTGCCTTTAAACTCTCAGGTTCTTTCAAGCATTGTTTCTTTAAATCTCTGGGCAAATGTCACCGGGCTGCCTTTTAAAAGTTTGTTGGCCACCTTCTGCCTAACACCTAAGGTGAACTCTGCTCTAATCACCTTCTCGGCTGCTGGCTGCCTCCCTGCTTTCAGCAGTTTCTTGCTTTTAACAGCTTGTTTAAGATCACTTGAACAAGCTGTCGGCCTCCAAAGGAAGAATGGTGCTAGAAACAGTGTGGGTTGCTAAATATAAACACATTCTGCAGATAGGGAAAGACACGCTGTACAAAGAGATTACCTGGCACCCTCCAGACCTGATTGCATTGGAGGCCTAGTTGTTTCCCATTTGGAGATGGTAAAATGTTTGCATGGGAAGCACTGCATTGCACAGGTGCTAGAAACCATTTTTAAATTGCTGTCAGCTGGGCAGTGACAGGCAGAAAGCTATTGCTCACGGAATGGGTACAAGCTGTCCAAATGGGCTCCTTACAAGTTTGTCCCCACCACAGACCAGACATTTTATTTTTAAAGTAAGGACTAGGGTATGACTTAAAAAAAATAGCAGGTTAATTTTTTTTGTTTAATAAATGAATTTTTTTTGCCTATGCAAAAGCTGAGCAGTGTTGAAATCAGAAAATGCATTTGAGAACACTAATGGAGTTATTAGATACATAGGATGGTCTTTACATCATACCTAGGACAACGTTTATCAAAAAGGCTGTTGTAATAGCAGTGCACATGCTGAACCACACTGAATAGCACACCCTGTCACCTGCCACTCTTTCTTCCTTATTTCTGTAAGGCACATACTGTGTCCTGGGTGTCTTATATCTCTTTTTTCTGTTTCTCACAAGAGTCCCACAGTCATTTTTACAAAGAAGAAATGAGACTTTTGAGTGGTTAAACCCTAACTAGTAGGAGAATAATAGAACCTGTAACAAAAGACCAACCTTTTACAGAAGGTAGGGCTGTGCCAGGTACTGCACTGAGGACTGTAGTTGGAGGCTGAGCTACCTTTGGGACACTATCAGCTCCTACCTGCTCCCTGAGGGTCAGTGCTGGCTGAGGGGCACACACAGTGGTCAGCAGCAAACTTGCAGGAGGGTCGGGGGTCCTCTGGGTCAGTAAAAGGGAAGGTCAACCTCTTCCAGGCTCGAGGAGCCCATAGGCTGTGCTATTTTGTACATAGGCCATGGCTTACAGAACTCTGCCAAAAAAAAAAAAAAAAATGCTAGTAATTCTAACCCCAAGAAGGACTGATAGACAGATTTTGCTATAGTAACAAAATTATTTTATAGCACTGACAGTTAAATGGAGACGTTCTAACCAGTGGTGGTAAAGACAGAGACTGGTCTCTAACCTGCAAGGCACAAGGGTTGGGCCTGATTTCATGCCTTCACTGTAATTTCCACCACAAAAATGGATTCTCTCTCAGGCACTTCCTATTCTGATTAAACATTTTCTCTTTGGTAGTGTCAAGATAGTAAAACAGCTAACAGAGCAGTTAATTATAACGCCACAAACTCCTTTAACAGTAACCGTTGTGTTTTCAGAAGCTGACCCCCTCCACTTACAAGTCAGTAATAACACAGAGCAGGGTGGAGAAATTGAAGATATCAGAAACCAGCCATCTCTGGAGCATGGGCAAGAGATATCCTGCATGAACTTTCTTGTTTTAATGACCAACTGCAGCTACTAAATGGTCCTCCTGGTGTCACCTCATGAATAAGAGAATAGAACAATTTTAAAATCTTAGAGGTCACAATAGCCAATGTCCCAACAGAGCACACAGAACTCAAAAAAAAAGAAGGGAGGACAGCTTTCACTGGGCCGCAGATCCTCCTGTAACAGATTTTCTATTGTGTGAATTGATCGATTCCCTTTATCCAGCTGTTTTAATGATGTTTTAGGCCCTATTGAGGTACTGAAACAGACCCCCCAGTTCAGGCACCACATCTCTAACCAAGACTCTTTGAATTCATGGCCCCTTCCTGTGACTTGGCTCAGAACACTCAGCTCCTCCAAGACAACAGCCCAAATGAACTCTCCCAAGGCTTCTTGCTTTAAGAAGTTTTGCAAATCACTTTTCTATTCCATTCTACCTCCAAAATTGTTGCATTAAAGGTTTGTCTGCTTTATGCATTTTTGAGATAAATACATCCCTAAGTAATCTAACTAGATATTGCTAGATTATACTACTAACGTTTTATCCAAGGTTGCAGGTTACAGAAGTGATTTTTCAAAAAGTATTATTGGAGAAGGAAACATCCCCAGCAATTCCATTTTCTAACTTGATCTGTACTTCACTTCCTAACCTATTTTCTGTGGGGTCATACAGGAGCCCTGTATTTACAGAATGGCCTATTCATAGTTATGACGCTTTCACTCATCCCTCTGATGGATACCTGAGGGCCTGACATAAAGCTTATGCCATTTCCTCTGAGTGACAGACAAGCAAGTTAGTGATGAACTGCCCATCCTCTGTTCTCCTATTGCCCATTTTCCCCTGACTTGCTCATTTCAGGAAGCATCAGCCGACAGCAAACCACTGCACTCACTATAGGCCTTCATTCAATTAGAGCACAGCACTCAGACTTCTCACACTTGGGGACCATATTAAAAAAAAATTGATTTTAAAAAGTGATCACTCAGAAATGCCTTTACACAAAATTTAACTTGGGAAGGGAATGCGGTCTAGAGGTGAATGAATAAGCTATGCTGTCAGCTGATTTGGGTTTGAATCCTAGCTTCTTTATTTAAGGTCCATGTAATCTTAAACCTGCTCCTCAGTCTCTCTGGGGCTCAGCCCTTGATCTGTAAACTGGGGCTAAAAATAAAACCCATGCAACTGAGTTACTGTGAGGATTAAATTAGTGAGTCTAGTTAAGAGTTCAATACAGTGGCTCCTCCAATACTATTAATTACTGTGAAATACGTAGGCAAGACATCTATTTTGTGGTTAAGAGAATGCATACTGGCAAACCCCAATAACAACTCAGAGATCCCCAACAATCCATGACTTGGAGTTTACTGAGCAAGAATGGCTATCTCTCAAACACACATCCCTACACTCCAGATATCTCTGAGCCAAGCAAAGGACTTTTGTATTTGAGTTTCAAGTAATATTTGGTTAACTGGATTTTGAGAGTGCATTTTTTTTAATGTAAAGAGTATCCACCCTTCCCTTTGACAAGAAAAGGCATATTTTAAAAGCCTTGTCTAAAATAATAAATCAGAAGATCAAACTTGTTTCTTATTAGATGTATTTTCAGGTAGTGGTTGAATGAAGAATTTGCATTTAAATGGAAAGATTAATGACTAATACACAAATCTCATATTTAATCACCATTTCCTTAATACAAATAATTTATATTTTTATACAGATCATTCACCTTAAGTCAGTAATCAGAAATGAAAATGACAGGTGTAGTATTTTATAAAACAATTTTTGTGCCACCAATCATGCGTTTCAGTTATAAATACTTCTGAGGCTTCTGGTTTCACACTGTTACTTGGGAATGATTTAAATGTTGGTACAGTAATTTGGGTGTAAATATGTTTGAGAATGTGTGACTCTCACCTCATAGAAATGTCTTAAGCTGAAGGGAAAGAATCATTTGGGAATGACTTACTCTGCATGGTCTATTCTTTCCTCGCAAATCCAGGTTAAGTACAATTTTTCCCCCACTTAAATTTTAGAAAGTTGTTTAAAAAGAATAATCTGACTATCCTCTCTCTTCTGGAAGATCTAATAGTGAAAACACAAGAAATATATTTTCCTCCAACTAAACATGGAAGAATGTTCTGAAAAACCAAATGTGCCTCCTCTTAGCTCCAGAAGCACATTTACTCTGCGTGTGTGTGTGTGTGTGTGTGTGTGTGTGAGAGAGAGAGAGAGAGAGAGAGAGAGAGAGAGAGAGAGAGAGAGAGAGAGAGAGAGAGAGAAAGAGAGAGAGAGAATATGTGTTACTTTACTAACTGGCAAATCATGGCAAACCAACAATCACCTTGCTTCTTCTAGACTGTTCTTCAGAGTCAAGCCTCATCACCACCATTTATCCCAAGTCCAGGGCACAACATATGAACACAGAGAATGCTTGAAGTCTCTGTGACCTCTTTCCCCTTTCCAAACTCTGACCAGTAGAATAGCAAAATTGGAAAACTTTTGTCCTGGAATATGGACCTGATAGGAGAAATTACTCCAGGCATTAAATCATATCTGTTCTCTGTGACTTTCAGCTTAATGTTGAGCAAATGTTGAAATTTGATTTACACCAGCTATAATGAAAGGACAATTTTGCATTAAATAATCTTTCTCAGTGGGACCAGCCAATAAGAGTCAGCAATGCAGGCACTTCCAGATAATTTAAAGTTACTAGTTGGTCTTATGTCATCTTCTGGGCCCTGATCATTTATGGAGCTTTCTCGATGCTTTCCTCCCTTTCCCCTTCTCATATTTCTTTTTCTTCCTTCCCACCACCCCTTCCTGCTAGAAGCAGAAGATAAAATTACATTTAGCAAATATGACAATGATAACACATTGGGATAACGCATTACATTTAGCAAATATGACAATGATAACACATTCACAAAGAATGATCTGGTTTAGTCATTCTTTGTCCTTAAAAATTCAGTGTAATTCTGGAGTCTGGCATCCTGTTGTAAAGTAACATGTACCCTATAAATTGGCACCTCATCTCTCTATTGACCTCTTCCAATTGCTGACCAGTAAAATTAGCACTACTTTCTTTGCCACTAAGAGGACAGAGTGAAATGCAAGAAAAAGTATGAGCACTTTACTCAGGAATACATACCAACAACCATGTTACTGGGGCTGAAATTTCTTAGCTCCCAGGGTACCTGATTTGTGCCAATAAAGACTGCATTAAGAAAGGTAGTGTGATAGTGAGGGAGTTTGCTGGGCGTTTGGGGCCAGTCCCTGGGAAGAAACCCTTGCTTGTGTTAAGAAAGTCTAGTTCAAAAGCTCTTTGTGATTCTAACCAGTGTCAGGTTATTTCTGAACAGAAAACTTAGCCACCGTCAACTCATTTTCTTAGAAGTGACCTCTACAGAAAAAACTGGCACCAGTTAAGATTAATGAAAAATACATTTAGCATTCTTCGTTTCTGAAAGATGTCACTTCACCTGGTTGGAGAAGAAAAAAGTGTAAGGATCAATGTCTAATAGGCCTTCCACACTCAGCAGGGACTACATTCACTGCCACTCCATGGAACGATCCCTGGTGTATAATAGGAAGAGATGTGGTCCAATGGCTAATGAAACCAGAACAGTACAAGGAACACAGATACTTTAATTTATTGTCCCTTTGTTGCATTCAGATTTTTATCCAAAAGACCTTTTAATTAGAGCACTCTCAGGTGGGATTTTGCCTGCCTTTTCAATAAAATATAGATAATGGGAAAAAGGCAAACAACCTCTTTGTTTCTCACCAGCGCTCATTCACTAATCATCTTCCCCAAATTCAGCTCAGGCTGCCGCCTGAGTTCATTTCATCTTCATCAGCATTGCCATTTTCTATCTCATATTTCAAAGAGCAATTGGAAAGCAGATATTTAATCAGAAAAGTTTGGGATTCATTTTTCGGACATCCAATCTGTCTTCAGAGGCTTCAAGACAGGCAAAATTGCTGTTGACTACAAAAACAACTGAAGTCTGTGTCCTTGAAAGACACGGAAACCTTTTAGAAAATGTGTGGGCTTTACAAGTGGCCGGATCTGATTCAAATCCAGTTATGCCATTTATTAGATGTTTGACCTTGGATGATTTGCTTGACTCTCCAGAGCCCCAATTCTCAAATCTGCAAAATGGAGATAATCCTTTCAAATGTCCATTTGGTAAGGCTACTCTATGCATTGTTCCTAATGCAGGTGAGAAAAACTGAGGACAGAAGGGGGCGCTCTTAAAAGAAAATAATTGAGGTACCACAGAAATAAGGTATCTGTGATTTCTGTTGATCTCAGTTCCAAAGTTAAAAGGAAGGGATTCAGATTGGTCAAGTTTGGTTAGGATGATACCCAAGCATTTTCTTCCAGCTGATAATATTGGGACATAGGGCCACACTGTGCATAATAATTGCTAGGGAGATCTATTCTTTTTGATGGCAAGGATAACTACAGGGGGATTGGTAGCCTGAAAGACACCCCAAAATGTAGGAAAATATGTCAGGAGCTAAACAGTTGTTGGCAT